GGCGCCCCAACACCCACCACCCCGCCTCGGGAGAGGCACCCTAGGCCTCCCCGGCGGCCGCAGGGCTGGTCCGAGAGCCGCCGATCCCGCCAGCTCCTCTCCGGGACTGAGGGCGCACGGTCCCCACGCCTGTCCCCTTTCAGCGCGGAGCGGAGCCATGAGAATTCAGGAAAGAACAACGTCACTTGCAAAGTTCTACAGTTTGCAGAGCAGGTCCGCCAAGTCGTCTTGCTCCTCTGAGTCTCCCTGGCTCTCCATTTCACAAAGGATGAAATGAGAGCCGCAGAAAACTTAATGGGCCCGCTTTAGCTAATAGAGGTAAGGAACGAGGCCGCGAGCACAAATCTTTGTCCTCTTGTTTCAAGAACTTTAGTCGGATTCCCAGCGCTAGGCCTTATTCTTTGGGGTCTTTCTCGAATGGAACATCTTGAGATGTCTGTTATGTAGGAGCGAGATGCTGAAGACAGAAAGATGAACAAGAGTCACTCTGTGACCTTAAGGAACTCACAGCTGAGTGAGAAACAGAAAACAAAATTATAGATTAAAATTTGATGTAAACCACACTGTTCTAAACACGGAAATGGAGTCAGTAACGTGCTCAAAGTCTCAGGACTATCGTGATGCCGCCAGGATTTGAACCCAGACAGTCTGACTCCAGAGCCCACCCACACATAACCACTATGCTAAACTGCCCCCCACCCCGCCCCCCTTAACTCTATAGCCTTAAGTGGGAGAAAAATGCAGATCACAAAACAGCATGTATAGTATGCTCCCAATTATAATACATATACACACAGAAAAAAAAAAAGACGAGAAGAATATATGTCAAAATGATGGGTGATTTTTGTTTTCTTCACTTTTTTTATAAGCTCTACATTTTCTGCACTGAATATGAATTTTATAATAAAAAAACAATAAATGTTATTAAAGTACAGCTTGAATGCAAAGCTTCCAAAAGATGATGATGCTTGAGTTTGCCCTAAAGGAAGAGAAGGCTTTAGTCAAGTGGGAAGGCTATGAGGGGCCCCCTCCTCCCCCAAAGAGAACTGGGTACCCCTGGGGCGGAATGCCATGCCAGGACAGGACAGCGGAAACTGCAGGGAAGTCCGTCTGTGTGAAAGGAGTGGAGGAGGGAAAGCGTGTGGGCACGAGGCCTCAATGGCATTTCTTGGGAAGTCCTTCAAATAGAGAATTTCAAACCCCCCAATATTATCCTGAAGTCTTCCTTCAGGGATTAATTCCCTTGGGGATATAAGAAAGCAGTCCAGGAATTGGCTGAGATTCTTGAAGGTTATTACTATGTTATAAATCTTTTTTTTTTTTTAATCTTTGGAAGTGAAAAGGCTGAGTGTAGGACATAAGATGCCATCAATAGATTTGGGTCAGAAAGGTACAAAGGATTGGGTGAAAATCACTGAAAATGGGCTGTTACCATGCACATTTTCATTAATCTGGCCCCGTTTCATAACCCAGTTTTGCTCTCACTCAGATCTGAGCCTGCAAAGACAGTTCATCACTTGCGCCATGCTGCCCATCTCTCTGAGGTCCCTGGGCACACCACTTCTAATATCAGCTTCGGCTTATTAAAGCACTAGATTTTCAGGTTGTGGATGGCAGGTCTTATCCTCCACATCCAGCCTAGGCTTCCCAAAGTGCCCCGGTTACCCTTTCCTTGCTGGAGTGCACAGCCAAGTTCACTGCTCTCCACGCTCCTGGCCCCAGCCCTTGCAGACACATCCCTGACTTTCTGACCCCCGCCCCCGAAGCTGCAGCATTCCAGTGCACAGAAGGCAGATATGCAGCTTCTCCGCAGATCCAAGGTCCACGCTGGAAATAGAGGGGCCTTTGCTCACGTCATTGCATGAGATTCACCATCTGCCACTTAAGCAAGAGAGACTCGGGGATGTTAAATGTGAAAACACGGCTCTTGCTTTGGCAATTGACTGTAATTTCAGGGTGAAGACCACAGCTAGCACGTTAACTCTAGGACCTGGGTTACCAATATTAGGGATCTGGGCTAAGATCGGTCTAATAAGCGGTGAACCCATCTTCATAATTCTCTTCCCTTTAGCTCTGTGCATGCACAGACCACAGACAGCAGGATCCAGCCCAGCCTGTCTCAATCTGGGGTTGACCCGGCTGTTTGACAGGTGGGCGAGAGCAGAAACCAGGGAGTGGGGAGAGCTGAAGTGACTGCTCCTGCAGTCGGCGGGCCCCCTCTTAGCCGTCCTTCTCTTTCTTTGCCTTACAGGTGAATGGGAAGGCAGACAAACCATGGGGAGCCTGTGTGGAAATCTTCAAAAATTTGAAGTGTCCTTCTGACTGAGGCTGAAGAAGGGAAAACACTTCCTGGTTTCTCCTTCTTGCCGACTTCTTAGCAAGCAGTCGAGGTGTCTGGAGGTGTCTGGAGGTTGTCTTTCATCCGATTGTCTCTTTAATGTAATTTATGGTAATTTGGATTTGTTCACCTGTCTTCTGGTGGCTGTGCCCATTTTATGTGTTGCCCTCCCACACTCCCTCCAACCGCCCAGTGATTCTTGGACAGAGGCGGGGATGGAGGAATTGGGTTTCATGCTTCCTTCTATTCCCCACAGCACTCAGCCCAGGGTCTTAGACACGAACTCTCCTGAACTCTAGGCCCATCTATCCAATAGCATACCTTATATCTCCACCAACATGTCTGTAAATAGTGCCAACTCAACCCGTTCTCTGTCCTCACCCACCACCAGCGGGAAACCTGCTCTTCCCCATCGCTGTTAATAACATCCTTTCAGTGGCTCAGGTCAGAAATTTTGGTGTCATGTATACTTCTCCTTCCTCTCACCCCCACATCGAGTCCATCAGAAAATCCTCTCGTGGTCAGCCCTCTACTGCACTCCAGCCGCATCGGCCTCCCTGCAATTTCTCGAACACACCAGGTGCGCTTCAGCCTCATGGCCTTTGCACTGGATAGTCCTCTGCTCGATCGCTCTGCCCTCTTGGCATAGTCTTTGCCTAAACATCCCTTCTCAATGAATCCCACCCTGCAACGCTATTTAGACGGTGAGTTTCTCCCATGCCAGCCCCTCCAATCTCCCTTGTTCTGCTCATTTTTTTTTTTCACATGGACTTACTTCTAGAGAGCTGTATAATGTGCTTATGTACAGTTTTCCGCATATGTGTCTCTGTTTATTTTTCAGTATAAGTCCTCCCTACCAGAAAGTAAACTCCACAAGACTCAGAGCATTGTGTTTTGTTCACCCATGCATCCCGGAAACTTAGTGCCTGACACAATGTAATTGTTTAAGGAACAAATAAACATTGGTTTGAAATGAATGGTGGTCACAAGCCCACACATTTCCCTAGGAAGCCATGCTCCTTCCATAGCTAGTCTGGCTTCTTTGCATCTGCTGCAGGGACATAAGGAGCTATGGATCTGCTGGACGCACAGGAAGAGGGAACAAAATTAAATGGGGTGAAGAGAATGAGAAGACAAGTCACAGACTAGGAGAGAAATCTTTGCAAAGACATCGCTGATAAAGGACCGGTATCCGAAATACAAAAGGAACTCTTAAAACTCAACCATAAGAAAACAAACAACCCAAATGAAAAATGGACAAAAGACCTGAACAAATAGCTCGCCAGATATACACATGGCAAATAAACATATGAAAAGATGCTCAACATTGTATCATTATGGAACTGCAAATTAAAACAATGAGCTACCACCGCACACCTAGTAGAATGTTCAAAACTCAGAGCACTGATAACACCAAATGCTGGCGAGATGGAGCAAGAGGAACTCTTATTCATTGCTGGTCAGAATGCAAAATAGTACATTCACTTTGGAAGATAGTTTGGCAGTTTCTCATGAAACTTAACATACTCTTACCGTATAATCCAACAATTGTGCTCGTTGGTATTTACCCAAAGAAACTGAAAACTTATATACGCACAGACGCAGATGTTTATAGCAGCGTTATTCAGAATTGCCCAAACTTGGAAGCAACCAAGATGCCCTTCAGTAGGTGAACAGATAAATAAATCAGCGCATCCAGATGATGGAATATTATCCAGTGCTAAAATGAAACAAGCTATCAATCCATGAAAAGACAAGGAGAAACCTTAGATATTACTAAGTGAAAGAAACCAATCTGAAAAGGCTACATACTATATGATTCCCACAATATAACAGTCTGGAAAAAGCAAAACTATGGAGAGAGTAAAAAGATGAGTGGTTGCCAGTAGCTGGAAGGAGGGAGAGATGAATAAGTAGAGAACAGAGGATTTTTAAGCCAGTGAAAATACTCTGTATGGAACTATAATGATGGACACGTTATCATACATCTGTCCAAACTCATAGACTGGACCCTAATGTAAACTATAGACTCTGGGTGATAATGACCCCTCAGTGAAAATTTATCGATTATAGTAAATGTAACATTATGGTGTTGACAGTGGGGAGGACTATGCATGTGCGGGGATGGGGGTATATGAGAACTTACAGTACTTTCTGCTCAATTTTGCTATGAACATAAAACTAGCCTTAAAAAGTCTACTAAAAAAGTAATAAAAATGGGCCATAGGTCTTTCCAAGCAGTAAATTTGTAGGCTCTGACTAGCTATTTCTCACCTACCCAAAGAAGCCCCTGGCCTCTGTCAGAGAAGGGGCTTTGTTCTGGACCAACCCTCATCTCAACATCTCAGCATCATGGATGGCCCCAAGTGGGAAGAACGCCCTGAAGGATGCTCTGCAGATGTCCTGGACTAGTTCCTTTCATGCTCAACTAGAGAACAGGGCAGGGACATATAGGAAACACTTCCTGTTGCTGCCCCCACCTCCCAGTCCCAAAGTCCCAGGCAAAGCAGGACCCTGTAATCCACTGACATGCTGCTGGGCCTTAGGGGTGAGGGGTGGAGAAACGGAGATGTAGAACAGCTGGGATAGATGACCCCAGTAGGAGCAGGGCTCCAGCCTCTCTCTAGAAGCCAAGACCAAACAAGTCACCGGTTTTCTCTCCTTTCTTGCTCCCTCCAGTATTTTGCAGATCAGACCTCCTAGCCCAGTGCTTCCGTCCTAAGCACAATTCACATCCAGGCTTGAGCCTGATTTTTTGTTACCCCCATCTCTGCTCCAGGAAACATATTTTTACTCCTGCTTCTCATGGGCACTTAAGGACCACAATAGGGCTCTCTGGAATAGTAATAGTCACCGCTCATTTAGCACTAAGAGATTTACATGTATTATCTCAATTAGTCCTGACAGTATTCCTATGAGATAGGTACTATTGTGCATGAAATCAAGCTACTTGCCCAAGGTAACGTGGCTAGAAGATGGTGTCAGGATTTGAACCTGGGTCTTTCTAACACAAAAGTTAATGTCTACTGCCAGGAGGAGTAAGGAATGCTCAAAGGACCCCAGGCGAAGGCATGACTAAAATCCAGCCACACTCCCCTTGCCAAACTGTGTGTCCTGGCCTAGAAAGGAATCAGGCCCAAAGATGGGACTCTTGTCTGTAGTTTACACAAAGGTGCCGATTCTGCTGGCCGCAACATGCATATGTGCAAGAAACAGGTGAAGCCAGGACCACGTGTGAGTGTTCCCTTACGACAGAGGAAAGAGAAGGGAGTGGAAAGCCCCTTTTACAGTACCTTGGAAAATGAAGAGGCAGAAAGTGTTATGTCCATTACCGTGTAGGTAGGCATGGCTTCCAAGGCTCTCTCCATCTCCCTGACTGTTTGCTCTACAGCTACTTTGTTTTCCTGGCCAAGACTGGTTCCAAATCCTGATTCCTGACTTCCAAGTGCTTTTCACTAGACTAGTTTAGGAAAGACTGCATGTGGGAAGAGGAGAATTCCTATAGGCAGAGTTAAATTATAGCTTAAACTGAGCAAGATTTCACCAAAGTCACCCTTCCCTGGGTGGCTAGCAAGAGAGAGCCCAGGAAAATCTTCCTAAGCTGGTTACAGCTACCAGAAAGGCTCATCATAGTCTTACTTATATTTTTCTTCTTTCTCTTCATTGTCAACCATGGAGGAAAGGATGAGAGGAAAAAATATATTAGGAGACAACTATTACATTTTCCTGTTCAAATTCACCATGTAGCATTTAAAATAATCCCACTAACAGAGCTGCAGACCAAATACATTATACTCGGTGCAACATCACCATTGCCCACATTATCCCCTCCTAAATTTTATTCTTGAGAAAGTAATGCTGTCCTTAACATGCTGATATTCATTTTAATTCCTAGGGAATGTGGTCAGCCTGAGGGGTACATGTGGTATGGGGAAGGGCAGTCCCCAATCTTGACCTGGCGGGTATAAGGGGAGACTTAAGAGTCAGCCTAATGTGCCAGCTTTGGGATTTGTAGGGGTGAGGCCCTTGTCAGCTCCTCTCTGGCCACCACGCCCTTCACCACC